AAAAACCGATGCCCAAAAGATAATCTGGGATGCCGAAGCCGTAGCGCACCACCTCATCCCAAGAGATAATCGATTGACGAACAACCAACGCGCCACATTTAGAACCGGCACGTACGCAAAGCAAGCCCAGCTCCAGTCAGATCAATGTTAAAGAGGGTCAGGAGATGAAACATATCCTGCTCGAGCTCATTAACATTGTCGGCCAGCCGCTCGAGATCATCAACTCCCGAGCTGATATTGATGAAACAACCACATAAGAACCTGTGAGTATAGTCTTCACGCGCCGGCGCTCAGAGACCGAAGCACACCGCGAAATCAACTCCCAGAGCGAAGCTCGCCACGGAGTGTCTGACCACGCTGCGTTCCACAGACCTCGCACCAGCGGTCACCTCGAGCGTCGGGAAGACAGGCGCACGCGGAATCGACGCTGATGCATTTCCCGCGCCGGCAGTGTGGACATCATGAGCACGGCGTTGAAGAAGATCCTGAAAACAGGCCAGGACAAGAGACCGGGACTGAATTCCTGACCGCCAGCATCGAAAGAATACTCATCAACAGTACCACTCGGAGCATGAACGACGGGCCCATGTCGCCGTGGTATTTTGGACTGTGGGCCGACACCGCCACCACCAGGCATAGATGCCCATGGATCGCGCCCGCCAGGGCCTTGCCATGGGGTCCTGCGAGGCATCGTCGCGACCACGAGGTCCAGGACGATGCGAGGCATCGTGCCCTTCATCAGAATTATCCTCATCGTGATCACAAGGACCCCCGCCAGCGCGATCGAAGCGAGGACGGTCGCGACCCTCACGTTTGACCCAGAACTGCACGACGGAACACCCGTCGGAGTGTCGGTGCCCACGATCAGTGGTGGCCGAAACTTCCAAATGCTGCTGAAAGGGGGTCAAGAGGAGGACCCAGCGCAGCATTAAGAACGGCAGGCGGAGGAGCACCCGCCGCGGCAGGCGCCACCACGACCTTCACCGTGGCCTTCGAGGTGTCCGCAGCAAGGCCGAAGGCGATGTGCACCGCCATTCCAGACACGAGCCGCCTCCGAATCCAGCCCACGCGCGCCAGGCAGGGCATGGCAGTGCGACCGTCCCACAGGTGCAGGATAGAAGCCACCGCGCCAGCAAATGCCAGAGCCAAAGCGGCTATGATGATGATGATGATGATGATGATGATGATGATGATGATGCTGATGCTGATGCTGATGCTGATGATGATGATGATGATGATGATGATGATAATGATACTGATAATGATGATGATGATGATGATGATGATGATGATGATGCTGATGATGCTGATGATGATGATGATGATGATGATGATGATGATGATGGTGGTGGTGGTGGTGGTGGTGGGAGGAGGGGGGAGGGGGAGGACGAAGGAATGAACGCGGGGTGATGTCTCGTCAAAACGAGAGCCCAACACCACAGGATGGTTGGTAAAAAACCAATATTGGCTTCAACTTGCCGCGCGTGCGAGACACCCTGAAACTTTCGGGAGCGGCAAAGAGGGGGGTGCCCAAGAGGGGGGGGTGCAAATCATGACCGGCGGCATGTGCGCGGCCCAGCGGGGGGGCCAGGGACGTAATGAAATAAGACGAGGCGCCATGAAATCTGGGGAAATATCATGGCCCGCGCCATGATATCCACCCCCCCCTAGTCATCACCCCCCTCTTTTCCGCCCCCGAAACTTCTAAATCCACCGCGACCAGGCCGGTCCATGCAATTATCTCCGTGGCAAAGCTTTGCGGCACGTTTGTAGCGGTGCCCACCTGCTTGTTCTGTATGAACCTTAGATTCTGAAGCACCAGCTCCATTGAGACGAATTGGCCACCATGATTCTGCCACGAACTGCAATGTTCTGGTGTCCTTGGTTGTCCTTCGCTTGGAAAGACTAAAACAAATGAAGGGAATCCTCCAGGGATGCCGAACCACCATGAATGTCACCGGAGCTTGCCATCTTTCCCTGGCCAGAATTCGGGTTGTGCTCTCGGGCCACTTTCACGCCCGACTCTTACGATCATGGGCCCGTCTATGAAAATCCGCCGATCCGGCGTGTGAGTTTCTGAGAGCGTGAGCTTGAGCTCGCTCAAGCTTCGCTCTGGGGGGGGGTCGGGATCCGGCGAATTATCCACGCAATTCACTGAACGCTCCAGCGCGGGGGGGGGGGTCCAAGAATCGAGGGGGGGGGGAGCTCTGGCGAGGACGGGGGGATTGGGGGGGTCCAAGAATCGAGGGGGGGGGGAGCTCGAGCGAGGACGGGGGGGGTCGAGCTCAAGCGGGGGGGGGGTCCAAGGAGGAAGCTCGAGCGGGACGGAGGGGGGGGTCGAGCTCAAGCGGGGGGGGGTCCAAGAAACCGGGGAGGGCAGCGGGGAGGGGGGAGGGGGGCAGCGGGGAGGGGGGGGTCCAAGAAACCGGGGGGGGGAGCGGGGGGGGGGATCCAAGAATCGAGGGGGGGGGAGCTCGAGCGACGACGGGGGGGGGGTCGAGCTCAAGCGAGGGGGGGGGGTCCAAGGAGGAAGCTCGAGCGGGGACGGGGGGGGGGGTCGAGCTCAAGCGGGGGGGGGGTCCAAGAAACCGGGGAGGGCAGCGGGGGGGAGAGGGGGTCCAAGAATCCAGGGGGGGGGGAGCTCGAGCGAGGACGGGAGGTGGGGGTCGAGCTCAAGCGAGGGGAGGGGTGTCCAAGGAGGAAGCTCGAGCGGGGACGGGGGAGGGGGCTGAGCTCAAGCGGGGAGGGGGGGGGGCAAGAAACCGGGGAGGGCAGCGGGGGGGAGGGGGTCCAAGAATCCAGGGGGGGGGAGCTCGAGCGGGGAGGGGGGGTCCGTCGTCGTCGTCGTCGTCGTCGTCGTCGTCGGCGGCGTCGTCGTCGTCGTCGTTGTCGTCGTCGGCGTCGTCATCGACGTCGTCGTCGTCGTCGTCGTCGTCGCCGTTATCCTCGTCGTCGTCGTCGTCGTCGTCGTCATCGTCGTCATCGGTCGTCGTCGTCATCATCGTCCGTCGTTGACCCGGTCGTCGGTCGTCGTCGTCGTCATCGTCCGTTCCCACATGCATCGGGAGCGCCCCGGATCGGCGGCACTGGCCGGAGGCCATTACAATATGCCGCCTCGAGACCGTCTCTGGCTTAGAAACGACATGGTATTTTCAAACGTTCCGATACGCTTGCACTGTGGGATGCTTGCTGTAGTTCCTGAAATTGTTGGACGGGTGAGCTTAGCTTTCGCCACCATGTTGCCGCCCGTGCCGCCTCGTGGGCGCTCCTTGCGCTGGGTGGGCTTCCCGAGGTTGCGCCTCGTTGCCGCGCGCCGCCGCCTCGTGGGCGCCACGTGCGCTGGGTGGGCTTACCGTGTCTGCACCACCATTTATGTTTGGTGGGGTATGTTCCAGACAACTTCGATCTGATTCCTGCACGCCATCTTGGTCTCAGGTTGAACGGAATATCTAAAGGGGGAAAAGCGATGCGGCGGGTACTCGCCGTGAAACTATGTTCTGCGCTGTAGTGCCGCCTCGTCGGCGCCCTGTGCACTGGGTGGGTGTCCCAGGGTTGCACCACGCCGCAGCCCGTGCCGCCTCGTGGGCGCCGTGTGCGCCGGGTGGACTCGCGAGATCGCACCACGCTGCCGCCCAGCGCTCTGAGCTTACACGACAGAGATCCCACCACGAAACTTACACCACACAGGTTGCACCATTTAGCTTGCATCAGGTAGCTGACACCGCAAGCTCACTCTGAATAGCTTGCACAACATGGCTTCGGCTAAGAGCACGTAACCTGCACCACATAGTTTAGCATCCATAGCTCACACCGCAAAGCTGACACGACATGACTTACACCACATAACTCACACCGCATAGCGTTCACCTCCACGGTGCAAGAACGTTCTGTTTGCTGTAAACGTGAACGCCTCACCAAAACGGAAAACAAATGGGCTCAACATCGGAACGAGAAACCGGAGCAAGCACGACGTCGGAGCCTGACAACAACAGCGACGAAACCAGCAGAAAAACTGAAGAACGGAACCAATTTGAGAGGACCCAGAACAGACGTACCCTGGAGAGGGGGCTTCGGGCCCACCTCGGGACGTCCGACGGCTGCGTTTTGACGCCCACAGTGGTTCATGATGTGGCTGCTGCGACACCTCGACGGGGGTACGTCGTCCTGGGGGTACGACTGGGCCTTCCCAACAATAGAAAAAGGGCCATGCCGTTTGCAAGGCGCACGAAGGTCTCGCGGGCCCTGCCCCATGCCCCGCCCTCTTCGCCGCGCGGTGCGCGATCGCACTGGTGGGGGTCATGCCGCGTGCCATCCCGCGGGGCCGCGCGGCGCTGCTCCGCGCAAGGACTACGCAGACAGCACCTATACACACCTCCACTGCAGCAGACACATACAACAAGAAGTTTTTAGGCACAGGGCGGATCTGAGCCCAGGGCTTCTGTGATCCCCCAAAGCCACTCGGGGATTGGACACTTGTGTGGGGGCACCTGCTGTCTGGCCGGTTTCATATTTGGCACGCCTGCTGCACATGCCTACCCGTCGGTCGGAAGAGGTAGGTGGAAACATGAAGAAGGCGAATCAACCAGATTGGGTTCAAGCCCCCCCAGAGCATAACAACTCACAGCAAAATCATATCGATTCTTGCAGTAGGAAGGCGCTTGAAGCAATGGAATCTGGGAATCCCCCAAAAGCTACTTCCAACGACCGGCGTGTAACCAGGTCCACCCCTAGCCCTGGGGTGGAGGCCACAAAAGGGCCTGGACTTAGGTCGGGCGTGTCCTCTTGCAGTGGGATCTTGAACGAAAAACTTCAAATAGTCAAAGAAGCATCAAACATGGTCAAAAAATGATCACAAAATCGTCCTCACTGTTTTTGGACTGTTTTTGAATATTCCTCCTGTAGAGGGACAGGCCCGACTTAAGCCTGGACACCATCCCTGGGCCCAGGACGGCCCTAGCCCGGCCTGGTGGGGCGGTGGTGCATGGGTGCCCCCTGCGGGCAGGACGCGCGGAGCGTGCGTGCATCATCGGGCGGAGCGCCGCGCGCTTCAGAAGTGGGCCACGCGGAACTCCCAGACGCCTGGCGGGCGCCGGGGATTCGGAGGCGACGATAGGGAGCAATACATGTATCCAGGGGCGCCGTTGGTGCATGCCTTCGGTGAGGCTCCCGGGCGAATACGTGTAACGCCCGCCTCTCGATCGCGGGCCGGCCGAACCGCCCGCAGGCGCAGTCGAGCAAACCGAGTCGCAAAGCGAAGGGCGCCCCTGGAGGAAGGGGGGGGAGGATGCTCTCGCGGACTGTGTGTGTGTGTGATCGAGCCGATCGGTGCCCCGTGCACACACCAGGCCGCGTCGTCGAATCGCACCCGATGGCGCGAACCGGCGCGTAAGGACATCGGCGAAGCGCGCGTTGCCCCCCCTCCTGCCGAACTGCCCCCCCCCCGCCTCCGCCCCGAATCTCCGCCTCTTTCACAGAAGCCCTCGTCCCGCTCCTCCGACTCCCGTCATCCTCCTCTGGCACCTCACCTGTCCTCCCACAACATATCCTTAATCCCCTCCACCAACTCCTGCACGCCTCGTTCCCTTCACCCTGCTTTCTCAAGCGCCCTTTGTTCCTGACGACAACAATTCCTCCCTGTCGCACCACAAAGCGTGTCCGTTGGCCAGGCTGGGCGGTTCGCGTCACACTTCAGCGCGATTCAAGATAATATAAGGATGGAAGGCTCCTCCTCCTCCTTATCTTCTCCTCCTCCTCCTCCTTCTCCTCCTTCTCCTCCTTCTCCTCCTCCCCCTCCTGGTCGTCGTCGATGTCGTTCAGGGTCGGCGGCACCAGCCGTCAGGCCTTCACAATAACACAAGGATAGAACGCTGGTCGTTTTCAAAATGAGATTATCGCCTTTAGCGCCGCGCGCATCCGATCAAATCTTTCAACAATCACACGGGTGGAGGGCCGATGCGTTTTCAAAATGAGGGGGGCGCCTAAAACTCCCTCGAGTTCTACGACCCGAAGTTCCACATCGTGCAAAATTCGTGCGGATAGAAGGCGACTCATTTTCAACATGGGGCTGCCGCTCTGCAAACATAACCCGGACTTGAAAAATGCGCAATGCTTACACGGATGGTGCATCCTTCACAACTATGGTTAGGTCGGGCGTGTCCCCTTACAGGAGGAGTTTGGACGACAAAATTAAAAATAATCCGAACATGCACCATAATGGTCAACAAATACTCAAATTATCGTCCTCAAACTATTTGTTTATACTGGTTTTGAATATTCCTCCTCTTGGGGGACGTGCCCGGCTTAAAACTATAGGTCTCGTCTTAGTGACAAGCTCACCGGGCGCTCGTAATTCGAAACGGGCGCTTCCCGAAGAGGAGCGGGATGTTGACTCGTTGGAGCGACGTGCGAGGAAAGGATTCGGGACGGGAGGGCGTATTGCACCATCGTTGATCGAATCGTCCTCTGCCTCCTCCTCTGTCCTCCTCCTCCTCGTCCTCGTCCTCGTCCTCGTCCTCCTCCTCCTCGTCTTCCTCCTCCTCCTCCTCCTCCTCCTCCTCCCCCCCTCCTCCATCTCATCCTCCTTCGCCGCGCCGCTCCGCCTGCTCCTCATCCTCTCTGCTTTCTCCGTGCCCCCTTCCAGCCAATTGTCCTCCCCCCATCATCACCCCCCCGCCAACGCCTCTACCTGAGCTGTGGCTTTTGGGTCTTAGAGCCCAAACCAGGATACACAGAAGTGTTTGGGAAAGAGTTGAAACGTGAAAAGTTGAACAACAAGCTGAAAACACAATTGCCCAAAGCACCATAAGCAAATGATAGATACCGCGGTGGGCCCTGGGCCCTCGCAGCAGGAACAGTGTCAACAACGGCAGCACGAGGACAAGGGGGCACCAGCAGCAAGCGGGCATCCGGGCCCTTGCCTGGCAAACGTGCCTCGCACAAAAATGCCCCCCGTCGTCCCTCCTTCCGCATCCTCCTCCTCACACCTCCCACCCACCCGCCTCTTCATCGCACCCTTCCTCCTCCTCCTCCTCCGACGACGACGACGGAGCGATGGCGGCGACGTCGACGACGGCGCCCCCTCGAGGAGACGCGAAAGGGTCGGCGGGCGCGCTGCCCCTGTCGCAGTCGTAGCTGACGAACTCGGCGCCCTTGTCCTGTGGGCGGCGGGGCGAAGCGGGTTGCCCTCGATGGGAGGCACTGGGGGAGGGGCATATGTGAGGACGGCGAAGGGGCAAGGGGCAAGGGGATGCGAGAAGGAAAACGGGGATATGGTGCAGGGGTGCAAACAGTGGGGGAGCAGCATGCTGACCGAGAGCTGGGTCCTGACATGAAGCGAAGGAACTAAAGACCGGCGAAAATCAACCAAGCTCAATTTGCTCCGGAGATCTGGTCTGCAACTTCTGAACGTCATCTCCGCAACAGCGTGTCTCCCGTGGCAACCGTGAAGCAAGGAGCAGGAGGAGGGAGGGAGGAGGATAAGGAGAGACCCCCCCTTCCCTCCCCACCTCGCATGCGCTTTTTCTGCTCCTCCCCCCGCCGCCCCCTCCCGCTCAGCTCCTCCCCTTCCTCCACTTACTCTCCGCATTCCCACCGCGCGTCCACTCCCTCCCCCCCCCCTTCCCCTCCTCACTCCTTTCAACCCTCCAATCCTCTCAGAAACCGCTCAATACTAGCCCACAGTGGTTTGCGGGAGCCTCCGCAGGAAGTACCCAGAGGCACCCAGAAGAAATTACCTGGAGACAAATGGAGGTCCCCAAAGGCGGCCGGAGGCCCGAGAAGGTCCAAAAACGACCAGGAAACATCGTGACCCTTGATCGCCGATCCCCCACTGCCCTTCCCCCACTCCATCCCATCGCCCTCTCAGTAGTCGGGTGGACTTAAAGCAGCGGGGTTGGCGCGGAGATGGTTTAAGGAAAATCGCTCGAAACAGCGAAAAAAGCAATGTGAGCATCCAGATGGGTTCGTCAACTAACCGAATCTTGGGAAAACCCCCATCTACGAACCGGCCCGCGTGTTGCGCGGAGGGACCTCGCTGGGGATGCGGGAGAGTGAGGGACCACAGAACCAGTCCCCGCCCAGGCGCCCGACCACAGATGCCAAGGACAAGACGAGAAACAAGGGTCCGCGCGGATTTCTTGGATCGGCGTTGGTCCCCCTCCCTGGCGCGCGGAGCGCGCCAAGGCGCGGAGCCGGAGGCGCCGCCAGAGGCGCCCAGCGCAAATCAAGGAAACCCGCGCGGAGCTCCAACAGATTATTGTTTTCGCGGGCCGCACGGGCTGCTCGAGGCGGCCACCTGCCCTTCAAGGGAGCTGCTCTGGAGTTAGGTCGGGCTTGTCCTCCTGCAGGCAGATGTTGTGAGACAGCTGATAAACATTATATCAAAGAAGTATCACCTGTAGCCACACATAGTAGTATCATCGTCCTCAGATCATGTCTTGACAATTTTGGAATATTCCTCCTGTAGATGGACATGCCCGATCTAACACCAGAGGCGGCACAAGCTTCCAGGGCCCGCTGGAGGCCGAGGCCACGGTGCCTCCCACGCCTCCAGGGTCCTGGGCGCAGCAGCAATCCATTCTCTGTAAGCATCGGCCACCAGAAGAGTTTCAAATCAAGACCCACCTGCCGAGCTACGAGAGCCGCCAGCAGAGCCATGAAAGACACTAGCTGAGCCACGCGGTCCGCAAGCAGAGCTACACTAGCAGGCCTACGAGGACCACCAGCTTAACCACGAGGGCCATCTGCTGCGCTACGAGGGACGCCAGCTGAGCCACGAAGACCACCAGCCGAGCTACCAGAAGCACCAGCCGGGCTATGAGGACAACAGCCAAAGCTACTACGGCCACTGGCAGAGCTTCATGGGCCACTAGGCAGACCTTTGATTGAGCAGGGACCGACCATCCCGGCACCCCTATAGGCCTACTATGACATGTTCTTAGAAACCGAACATGTTCTAATAACAAAACAATGTTCTAAGAACATAAGCCCGATGTGTTAAAGCAAGACAGTCTCAGCAAAAACTGTTCTAAGAACATGTCGTGCAGACCACAGAAGGTTCTTCAACATTCTTTGGTGGGCCTATAGGCGAGCCAAGACGTTTCGCCACTGCTTGATTTGAAGACACAAGCTGTGCTACGAGGCCGAAAGGCACAGCTACGAGAGCCGCCGGCGGAGCCGCGAGGAATGCGAGCTGAGCTACGAAGGCCACTAGCAGGGCTACGAGGGCAACCAGCGGAGCCACGAAGGACACAATCAGAGCTGCGCGGATTACAGGAAGAACTATCGTTAGAAGTCAACAAAACCACCCCCATAACAACTACCTCGACACGCGAAGTAGTTTAGTCAACGCGCCCAACGAAGGAATCGAACAGGGCAGGGCTGTTTAGTAAACGCCCAAGGCCGTTTAGGAAACGCCAATTGTCCGGTCTGGGTGGTTTTTCCTCCCTTGAATCATAGCCCCCTGCAGAGCTACTAGGGCGACGGTCTCACGGCCACTACTACTACTACTACTACTACTACTACTACTACTATTACTACTACTACTACTACTACTACTACTACTACTACTACTACTACTGCTACTGCTACTATTACTACTACTTTCACCATTCGTACGACTACTTCCACTACTACTAAACTACGACTACTACTACTACTACTACTACTACTACTACTACTACTACTACTACCACTGCTGCCAGAACGACTGCTACTGCGACTACTACGACTACTACTACTACTACTACTACTACTACTACTACTACTACGACTCCGACGACTACTACTACTACTACTACTACTACTAGGAATACTACTACTTTTACTACCACGTCTACTACTACTACTACTACTACTACCACTACTACTACGACTACGGCTACTACTACTACTACTACTACTACTACTACTACTACTACTACTACTACCATTATTACTACTCCTTCTACTACTCCTAGCACCACTACAACTACTACTACAACTGCTACTAGTGCTACTACAGCGTTTACTCTCCCACTACTACTGCTACTACGACCACGACTACTACTACTACTACTACTACTACAACTACTACTACGAATACTACTACTACAACAACTACTACTAATACTACTACTACTACTACTACTACTACTACTACTACTGCTGACACTGACACTACTTCTGCTACGACTACTACGACTACTACGACTACTACGACTACTACTACTACTACTACTACTACTACTACTACTACTACTACTACTAACTAATACTACTACTCATACGACTACTACTACTACTACTACTACTACTACTACTACTACTACTACTACTGCGGTTACGACTACGACTAGTAGTAGTAGTAGTAGTAGTAGTAGTGAAAGAAGTAGTAGCAACAGTTGAACTAGCAGTAGTAGTAGTAGTAGTAGTAGTAGTACGAACGAAACAAAGTAGCAGCCGTAGTAGTAGTAGAAGTAGTAGTAGTAGTAGTAGTAGTAAAAGTAGGAGAAGTAGTAGTGGCAGGGGTAGAAGTACTCGTAGGACTCGTAGAACCCGCAGTAGTAGTAGTATAAGTAGAAGCAGTCGCAGCAGTAGTAGAAGAAGTAGTAGTAGTAGTAGTGGTAGTAGTAGTAAAGGTGGTGGTAGTGGTAGTGGTAGTGGTAGTGGTAGTGGTAGTGGTCGTGGTCGTGGTAGTGGTGGTAGTAGTGGTAGTAGTAGTGTTCGTGTTAGTAGTAGTAGAAGTAGTCGTAGTAGTAGTAGCAGTAGAAGTAATAGTTGTAGTAGTAGTAGAAGTGGTAGTAGTAGTAGTTGTTGTTGTAGTAGTGGTATTGATAACAGACGTAGTAGTAGTAGTCGAAAGAATCGTGATAGTAATAGAAGTAGTAGTAGTAGTAGTAGTAGTAGTAGTAGTAGTAACAGTAGTAGTGATAGTTCTAGTAGTAGTAGTAGTAGTAGTAGTAGTTGTAGTAGTAGTAGTAGTAGAAGAAGTAGTAGTAGTAGTAGTAGTAGTAGTAGTAGTAGAGTAGTAGTAGTAGTAGTAGTAGTAGTAGTAGTAGTAGTAGTAGTAGTAGTAGTAGTAGTAGTAGTAGTAGTAGAAGTACTAATAGCAGTAGTAGTAGTAGTAGTGGTAGTAGTGGTAGTAGTAGTAGTAGTAGTAGTAGTAGTAGTAGTAGAAACAGTAGTAGTAGTAGTAGAAACAGTAGTAGTAGTAGTCGTAGTAGTAGTACTCGTAGTAGTACGAGTAGTTGGAGTAGCACGAGACGTACAAGTAGTAAGCGTAGTGGTAGTGGAACTAGTAATCCACCGATCCCCTCAGATATATCCTGAGCCTCAGTTCTCGAGTTTCAGCTCTGCTGGGGGGGGGGCCGGGGTGGCTCTGCGGGGGTAGGGGAATGGTCGGTGGTGGTTCCGAATTAACTTCACGGGCAAAATCGGAGCTCCAGCTCACTCCGGGTCGGCCCCTCGCCCTGGAGAACTCGAACGCGGGCTCATACAGAAAAAACCAAGCGGCCGCCCAGACGGCCCAAGAGGGCCCTGAGTGGCCGAAACATCGCTCCAAGACAATCAATCTGTTCGTTTCCTCAGACGGCTCCAAAAGCCTCCAACATACCCTCCCGACACCTCCTAAGAGCGCCCTGGAACGGGAAATCTGGCCCATTCCCTTAGGAAAACGTGCATTTGTTTGCATTTTCGTTTCTTCGGCCTTCGCAGCGTCCAACACGGCCCAAGAGACCCCCAAAACAGCCAGAGGCTCTCAAGAGGGCCCCAAGTCTGCCCAAGAAGGGCCCAAGACGGCCCGGGAGGCCCCAAAAACAGCCCAAGGGGGCCCCAGGACAGGCCCAAGAAGCGCCCAAGAGGGCGCCATGACGGCCCCAAAAGGGCCCAAGACGGCCCAAGAGGCGCCCAGGAAACACCAAAATAGCCTGAGGAGCCCCCAAAAGCCCCGAGGTTGAAAAATTACCTCCTTCACACCCCCATGACGCCTCACCGAGGTGAGGCGAAAGCGTCCTTCTGACAGCGGGATCGTCCCCGATCGGCGGCACTGGTCGGATGCCCCTAGCATTTTTCGAGTGGAGTAGTAGTAGTAGTAGTAGTAGTAGTAGTAGTAGTAGTAGTAGTAGTAGTAGTAGTAGTAGTAGTAGTAGTAGTAGTAGTAGTAGTAGTAGTAGTAGTA